TGGAATCAAATGTAAAAGAAAGTGTCTCAGTTCACCATTCCTCTGGTTGACAGACAGGTATGGAGATCATCTCCTTGTGTTTACCAGAGCTGTGCTGCTTCTGGGGAGCTGACCAGACCTCTCAGCTCCTACCTTAGTGCACACCCTTGAAATCAGCAGCACCTACATTTTACCAAGCTTGTTTTTAGGAATCATTTAAGTCTGGCTACCCAACTAGACCTAAAATCTATTCAAAGCAGCTTCTGCTAACTTCAGATCTAAAATGACGCTGCTGGTGCAGACTGAAATCCCAGCTACTCTGAATGGTTGTAACCTGCTCTAGTTCATCAACACTTTGCTCAAAATCTCACCAAGCCACGGTCCACTGTTAGCCCTAAGCAAGCAATCAGAACAACTTCTGATTTACATAGAGCCAGTTATCTCCCTGTCAGCTATAAGCCCTAACCCTGTTTCAGCTGAGCCTAGTGCACTGCTCTGTGTCAACATCTTCACCATCAGGACGTGCTGGCCAGGATCCTGCCCCTACCTTTCACCCAGCCTCAGTGTTGAACCTAGACAGACTGCTACCTTCCTTTTCAGACTTGCACCTAGAAATAAATTATTTGTTCCTAGTCACTTCTCAGTTCCTCACTCCAGCTGAACACCCAGACTGTGTCCTTGCCTTACTGGCAGGAGGCTGAAGCAAGGCAGGAGGCATGTTGTGCTCCAGCAGATCGCCTGCTCTGGACTACCAGGGTGCTTGTGGAACTGAAGATTACCTCAGTCTTGCAGTCCAAATGCAACCTCAGTTATGCTCTCTTCATTGACACAACCTGAACTCCAGCTTTCATCTCCACTCCTTTCTTGGCTATAAATTAGAGATACATCTTACTTAAACCTTATCAGGTTGAAGGCTTTATTCAGGTCAGGTTCTGCTGTTGACACCTCACTTAACTGATCCTTCTTAACTCAACCATAACTCTCTTCTCCAACTAGTGTCTGTCTAAGCCTAATCCTAACCCAAGCTCCTTGACCCCTGTAAAATCTTGGCTCAGCAATAACCAGATCTGAAACTAGCCCTTTGCAGACTCTGCCACACATCAACTTCTGCTGGCAGGAACAACCTTAACTCCTAACCCAATTCATTCAGTCCTGCTCAACAATCCCACACGTGACCCTAACCAAACAGTATTAACTGCTAAATCCCATGCCCAGCCCAGTGGCAAATTCTAGACACATCCTCCCTGAATGTCATCAGCCAGCCTCAGTCCCAAATGTAGTCCTACCTTTATCCTCAGAACAGTTCCTGTCAGCTTCATGCTTGAGCCTAACCAAATATCAGCTTCCAACACCAGCCTTAATGCAGGCTGGGCACACTCCTATCTCACTGGCCTGAATCCAGCCATGTGATAGTAGCCAACATTAAAGCCAGCAACTTTAAGATGATTTCCCCAATGATGTGTCTGTCATCCCACATCTTCCAGAATACCTCTTCTGCCAGCTTATGTGTGTGGAGAAATAGATGAGAAGTATGAAAAGTACATGTTGCCGTAATTTCTTCAGTGGATAATTATACCACTGAAAAATTATGTGCCTGGCATACTTTGAATCATTAAATAGGTTTTAAATAATATTTGAAGACCATTTCTATGCAGGCCAAATAGGAAAATACATTCAAAAATAATGAAGAATTCAGGCTATGTATATTTCAAATATATCATACATTATTTGTCTGTTCTTATCTACCAATTTAAAACCCCTCAATATTGTGACAGTACTATTGGAAAAGCAGTCTTCTGGCCAACATTTAAAGAAGAAAACCAGCCTTGCTCTGAAATATGAAATGATAAAGAACTTTTAGCCTGAACAGAAGTCTTACAATCATCTATAGTGGAGTACCACCTACAGCAAGCAGTTTGCACTTGCAGTATGAAAACCCAGGATAAAATGTAGAATTTATCTGATGTAAATTGCTGCACTTCTTAGAAATGTAAGGCATGTAGGCTATGGGTATAGTCATTATATACTCCTTTAATTTATACTCAAGTTTCACATTTTAAGGAGCTGCCCAACTTCATCTGTAAATACCTGTGATTTCAGCCATCATCGTTGAATCAACATAGGTCACATTTTTCTCCTAACTAATCAAAGGGAAGCCATATACTGCACATAAGCAGCATAAATCTTAATTTTAAATCAATATTCTTACACATTATAAATTTTTGACACTTACCTGAAGCCTCTTAAGTTAGGAGTCTAGTCATCTCAGACTCCTACAGTCAACGAAGAGACACAGGCAACTTCAAAGAGCAATTCAGATCTTAGTTCAGCTGAACCAAACTCTGAAGGTGCCCCTTTTCTCTGATAACTCACTAGGAAGATTATTTTCACTAATTTTCCTCAGTTGCTTCAGCTATGTCCCTAAGGATAGCTGGGCCTTAGTCCACACCGTTTTTTAAGACAGGGACATAAGTTTTGATGGGCAAAAGATAGTATCTTTGCTTTTTAACCATGGTCTTCAATTCCAGCTAATATTATAGACCTAACAAAGCTTAAATATTGAGCAACTATCAGTATTTCAAGAGTAACAGAGGAGCCAAAGCTTGATTTTAAAATAGGGTTAAAAAAAAAAGAGTCAGTTTCCTGTTTGTGACACTGAAATAATCTTTGAAAATAAGGCTTAGGTTATATCTGCACAAAACCCTACAGCTAGCTCAGAAACAGTCAGAAGCATGGTCAGCCAGGCTGGCACTCAAGGCACCCTGTTAGCTCTCACAGGAAATCAGGAACTAACGTTCCTCAAAAGCACCAGGCTAACACAGTTATCCCACTACTTTACACTAAAGATACCTCACATGTAATTTGGGTATCTTTTTGTAACATAGATTTAAGATGTGCAGAATGAGCATTAGGATGCAAAAGCCTCCAAGCAACTTTGAAGAGTGTGCATAAGTTCACATTACAGAGACTTCTGAATTAGAGAACTTTGAATTTTCTTTTAAACAGAAAAAAAAACAAAAAAAAAGGAAGGTATTCTATATGCAGGCAATTGTTTGGTAGGAAAACTACAGCTCTTGGGATTTTGGAAGTGCTCTGTGCTAAACAGGTTTGTGTACAGGAGTCACCAACTTCATTTTCATAAAGGCATTTCCACCAGATGCAGCCATGATGTCCTAATTCAGTGTGCAAGTTGATCCCTTGAGAAGCCCTCAAAATTTTGGGAAAGACACTAGAACTTCAGCTAACTTTTATATCCTGAAATTTGGTAGGGTAAGTTTCAAAACAAAAATCCAGAAGGGAAGAAAGGGGACAGACAGAGAGACCTGCAGAGATAAATGAAATAATCATCAGCAAAGGAATCTGAAGGGAAAATCTTCTTTGAGGTTTCACAATAAACTGAGTGAATCTTTTGTCTATCTATGGCAGGAACAGCCTTTTCTATGCTGAAAAGTTTCACAAGGTGTCACAACCTTCATATCTGGAGCAGCAAGAAATCAGGAAAGATCTGAATAAGCTGATATAAATTGTCAAGAATACAGAAAATACTGATGTTCACAGCAGTGTTTTCCTCCTCAGTACAAGGAAAGTCACTGCACAAAGAATGCAATGACAAGCTTGGTGTGTAACCCCTTAGCAGCAAGAGTCTTCCTAAAACTCATTTCTTCAGTGCAGGGCAATAGCTAAGCTACTTGCTGTGAGACCTTTTAGCCAGAAACAGCACTACTGGTGCAATGTTGGTGCAATGAAGCTGGTTTAAATGAAAAAAAATCCAATTACTTAAAATATTATTACTAATAAGCTATGCTTAATGCATGATTACTTTTCTCCACACATTTCATATATATAGTTTCACTTCCAAAGCTTTAAGCAATGAACTACCAAACACACGCAGGTTAGAAATAAATATCTGTATTATTTATTTAGTGTTATTTTATTTTAATATCTTTTCCTTTGTTTAAGAATTCTTGTCCCAACAAATATATCAAAACCAACACTTCAGTTTTTCACTTGTCATCAAGTTATCAAAAGCTTCTTTTGTATACTGCCCCTTCTCCCCATTTGCCTTCTCAGGACTTTGTGAATTTGTAAAAAAAGAAAAACTCTGTATTTTTTCTTAGACAAATCCCATTTTGTCTCCCTTTGACAGGTTGTAAAACTAAGAAGTAATAATAACACCCCTTTATTTAACTATAATTCAGTAATTCATATTAATGAACTGGTTTTTGATCACTTAGACATTTTGTTTGATCAAAGTTCATTTTTCATTACTTTCCTACTTAAAATGAAAATACAGAATTAATTGATGACAGAATATTAATGTGGTCACAATATTGCCCCCTACTTTGCATACCAAGGAAAAAAAGAAAACTAATTGCAGAAAGCACAAACCAATGTAAACAGAGGTTCATCCCTTCCCCCCACTTCTAAACAATATCACAAGGTCAAAATTTAAAATAACTAAATAATGATTTATATGTGACTACTTATACTCTGGAACAACTATCTAGATGGGATAACTGTCTATTTTGATTATTTCTTCTGCATTATTCCTCCTTGGCATTTGAAGTCACATGAAAAATACAGAATTTGAAGACTTATAAATAACCACCTCCACATGCCTCCCTACACAAATTCCAGTACACGCATATCCAGTATATGCACATAGCAGGTGAGCATATTTTCTACAAAGCATAATTTTATTTTCTCAGTTACTTTCATTTACCTGAAAGTGCTTCAATACTATACAGATACTGGGGAATACTGTTAAATTCTTTTCTTTCATTTTTCATTTATTCTTCTCAGTAGTGCATCTTTACAACTACTTGATAGGGATTCTCAGGGCTGGTATACAGCAAAGCCTTATAACTACTCTTACAGCTACAATTTATGAGATATTTTATGATTTATGATATAACTACTCATACAGCTATTGTTTCACAAGCAACACATTTGAGAAGACAAAGTGTTAGATTTGATAGTACTGGATGTGAACCTATCAAAACGAAAACCAACCAACTTACCATGCACCACTGGTAGACTTGGTTTAGATTCTTCAAGATGTTCTACAGTAGTGTTCATTAAAATAACATAAAAGTAAAAATTAATGTAAGTGTATTATAGTAAACAATAACAGATTCTTAAATGTAGTAATATTTAATGATTACAAAGTATGTACTTTTTGGCTTTAGGAGGGGAAAAAAATAGAATCATAGAACCATTAAGATTGGAGAAGACCTCTAAGATCATCAAGTCTAACCATCAACCCTACACTACCAGTAAACCACATCTCCAAGTACCATGTCCACATGTTTTTTGAATACCTCCAGGACTGGTAACTTTGCCACCTCCATATAAATAATTTATGGAGTGAAAAATGGTCCTTTACAACAAAGTACATCTCTACATATGCTTAACATTTTTCATACTTTTCTAGAATCCGGAGAAGAAACTAGTAATTAAATCATCACTGAACTGGAACATGATCATCTTTTTGATGACATCTGTGTGCTCTTTTGTGTCCCAGGGAAGAAGCCTTGGCCCAAAGCTACTTACTCAAGTCTAGCCTGATCCAGGCTGGTATTCCCCAAAGAGGATCTGCTGCATCCACGCTTCCCACCCATCAGCACAAACCCTGTCTGTGCCATGCGTGGATCGTAGCCTTGGAATGACTTATTACTTCAATTCTACATTCACCAAAGCAGCCTGGGGCTAAGCCAAAAGTTGTTTACATCGTACAAAAGAGTAGCTACATTTCCCATCTCTTCACTACTCAAGCAATAAGAAGTCTTTACAGCTGCAAAACATAAACTTTGCAAATCACGGCATGGAAACAGGTGGGTACCACGTGAAACACAAATTGCCAGTACTGATTTGATTTCAATATTTAGTTACTAAAGCTGATGTCTGTATTTTTTAATGAACTGTAACTCTTTTTTTCAGCCAAGCTGCTGAAATCAGAAACAAAATCTGCTTTTCCTTACGGTTTGTACTTACCATCATACGGTTTGACACTTGTAACTGACTTTGGGGACAACTCTTTTATCTAAAAGAGAAAAGAGAGGTATAGGAACAGTTACTAACTGTCAAAATCATGAAGTTAACATTCAGTACAAAACATCTACTTTCAGTACTATTTCAGAACCAAAATTGTTGAGGATTTGGGAAGAAAAATATTATTTTGTGGAACTCTATTCTACTGCCTAATGTATATTTCATCCATGCTTAATAAATGCTTATTCCTGTTGGTTGCCTGACGTGAACTTATGCTTCCTACACCCCATCACTGCCAGCTATAAACCGACACGTGAGTGGGCTTATGGGCCACCCCAGCACTTCCAGCTTCAATACTTTCTGCTCCAGTAATTCATGTTCAACATGCACGTCTATAGCTCCTCTCCAAGGAAACACTTGGTTAAACATGATTTTAAATGCATGAACTGTTCTCCTGTCTGCTCTACAGCTTTGTCTGTTTGACACCCAGGACATGCACTGAACAAAACTGACAGTAGAGGAAACAAGCTGGCTGTAATTTGATCTAAAGAAAACAGGAAACTTGTGAATATTGTAGCATGAAAACAATGTTCTGCACTCCAGTTCTCAAAACAGAAGCTAAACCCAAACCATCTGGATGAACAGCAAAGTTAGCTGGAGCTAGCACAAAATATTGGACCCAATATTGGACCCTGGTTGCGATCACTTTCAGGCTGGTTATAGTCTCAAATCATTGTCCATTAGGCTTGGTTTCTACAGAAGTGTTAGCTACTTCCCAAGCTCTTCCAGACCCCAGGCACTGAGAACACAGATCTTCACAACTGTCCTTCACAAACACCAGACTCAGATCCTTGAGAACATATCTGTACATCTGTGGTCATACTGTTCTGCTTTAAAAGGTCACTTGACTGTAACAAATTTTATCTCCAGCTATCACATTTGTTAAGGTGGAGATGTAAAAGCTTTTATATGTCTATTCAGTTCTTCCACCTAAGTACAGATTTAACATTAATCTGAAGAAAAAAAGTGTAAAACCAGATGTGGATTTGTAAAGCATGCACCATCTAATAAAGGAATAGGTTGTAAGGACCACATAATCACGCCACAGTCTGAACTCCTGACCACCTAGATCTTCACTCACCAAACACCTCAAAGAAAATCTAGTTATGTTGGAACAAAAACATATTTTTAAGAAAAAATGATTCATTTCCAAATAATTTCATAGACTCACAGACTATCTCCAGTTGGAAGGGACCCAGAAGGATCACCGAGTCCAATTCCCTGCTGCTCGCAGAATACCCAGAACTAAACTGTATGACTTCTTAAACTCTGACAGGCTTGGTGCTGCGATCACTTCCCTGGGAAGCCTGTTCCAGGGACCAACCACCTTCACAGTGAAGAACCTTTTCCCACTGTCCAATCTGAACTCCCCCTGACACAGCATCATTCCATTTCCTCATGTCCTACCTCTGGCCACCAGAGAGAGATCAGCACCTCTTCCTCTGCTGCCTCCCTTCAGGAAGTTGCAGCCTGCAATGAGGTCACCCCTCAGCCTTCTCTTCTCCAAGCTGAACAAGCCAAGTGCCCTCAGGTGCTCCTCTTAAGTCCTGCACTAAAGGCCTTTCACCTCGCTCACTCTCCTCCACACACATTCTAATCGTTTGATATTATTCTTGTACTCATGGGCCCCAAACTGCACACAGTACTCAAGGTGGCGCTGCACCAGTGCAGTGCAGAATGGGACCACCACCTCCTTTGGCCGGCTAGCTGTGCCGTGATTGAGGCACCCCAGGACACAGTTGGCCCTTCTGGCTGCCAGGGCACACTGTTGACTCGTATTCAACTTGCCATCAACCCCAAACCCCCAGACCTCTTTCTTCAGGGCTGCTCTCCAGTCAGCAAGAATCCAGAACTTGCTCTGGATAAATTTCATATGGTAATGATGTAATTTTTTTCATGGTGATAAATGTGACATTTTTAGTGTGAAAAGTCACATATTTTCAGTTTCCAAATACTAGATCTCATTACGATTATTTTGTGGCAGATTAAATCCTGTTGACTATCAGAAACTTCGTCTGTAGAGGTCTTTGTTGACTGCAACTTAATAACCTTTCAACTTTGTGTTGAACTTATTAAAAACTTTCGGTTTATTAAGCCTTTCCTTCTAAACTGTGTTTTAATTCTTGGTTTGCATTCCCATGTCTTTTCCACGCTTATTTTTATTTAACAACACAGTTTGCAAAGTGTAACCAAAACACCACAGCAATACTACTACAAATTAGGAACATTAAATAGGCAATCAGAGATATATCAAAGATCAAATGCTAGCAAAATGTCTCTCCATGACTTATGGTCTCTGGAGCAGAGTGCTGCACAAAACAGACCTGCTTCTTCTCAGCACTCATTGGCCCATTCTGCTCCTTAAGTTTCTGCTCCAATTCTTCTATCCTCCTCTTGTAAAAGCTGTGATTTTTATCTGTGTCTTTTTTCACTGTTGATCTGAGCTTCTCAATCTCTGACAGCAGCTAGAAAACAGTCAGAAGAAAAGTAAGTTCATATTAATACTATATAAAGTATCTTCATGCTTTATTAAACTTCACAGCAAGCACCGTGCTTAGTTTTAACATTTTTTTTTCAGCAAAAACTTAAGTGTCTCCTGTGATTTCATTGGGACTTGCAAATATTACAAAACAAATATATTACAAAATATTACAAATCTGGATCACTTTTTGTTTACACAGGGAAGACTACCTAAATATCAACACAAAGAAAGGGACATACAAACCCATTGCTGAGATTGCCTAAAAGTGAGATTGCAAGAAAAAGCATACAACTCTACAAAAATGTTATGGTTATAAATAGTGTCAAATAATGATACATTACAGACACGAGACATGAATTTGCATGAGAAACCTCATATATTAGCTCTGAATGTGGAAGAGAGGGGAAAAATAATTTAGGTGCACCATCTCAAAAGTAATACTTACATTACTCCTCCCTTATTCTATTCTTGCATTGTATGTGGGTGTATCATTAACTACATCCATTTTGGGGAATGTTCCATGGTTCCTCCCCACTGCTTTCTTGCCAGAGGAGGAGAAGCATTGGTCAGACCACTATGATCTGCTCAGGTCTTACATGGTCACCCAGATGAAAGAAAAATGAGAGGAAAAGAAGCAAGAGAAACAAAGCAGGAAAGAGATTAAAAAGAAATGCAGACATGAAAAAAAAAAAAAAAATCTGAGGAATAAAGCTTTCTATTGTAAAATATATGAACTGATGCATATGCCATGGTGGTTTTTTTTCCTGGAAAAGCTGAACAGATTCTGCGTTAGAAAGCTACAACAGAAAAAGCAGCAGAGAAATGATAGAAAAATGAAAAAAAGATTGAGACATATGCCACAGCCTCACGGTAGCAGAAGGTACAGGTAGATGAAAGTTACATGTTGACAAGTTGTATCACTATCCAGCATATCCACGGAACACAGAAAACACTGGATGACATAGTGCTCACAGAACTCAGTTGCAAGCTCTTCAAAAGATGGATACAGTTTCAGGTGTTTGTTGGATTCTTAAATGAGAAATTCTATTTCAGCCCTGGCCTTAACTGAAACGACTAAAAGGGCAAGGAAATAAAAAAAAGTCTCCTAGTCTCCTTTTATAGTTCAAGTGGTTTGCTGTGCCACTTACCCGGGACTTTTCTCTCTCATGTTCATGACAAAGAGTTTGTATCCTAGATGTCCACTTACTTTTCTACATAGGGAAATCAAGATTAATTCCTGTTAACACCACATTAACACAGTTTCATATATGCAGATTTATTTCTTGTTAACAACACATCATCATTTAGTTTGATATATTCTTGTACAGCAGCTTTACTTTCCTAAATAAACACTGAAAAGATTATTCATGATATGAAACTTGAGTAACCCTGTATTTAAAACCTAGAAGAGTCATCAGCATGTTTTACACATCCAAATATGGTTTTCTTACCAGTCACTCCAGGAACTACATCATTGCCTTGTATATACAGGGATTCTAAGTGAGAAATACACAACTATTTTGATACATCCCTGTGTATTAACAAGAGTAGTAAGAGCAGGGTTGTTTTTTTCCCCACAAATAATGTCATTTCAGGCACTCATTAACAATGTAATTTATGTAATGATGATAATAAACAGTATTAATGAGTTTTAGAGTGGACTGAATTTTCTGTGATGAGATAAAAAACAAAGTAAACCTAAGTTTTTCACATCTCTGAGTAGAAGTGACTCAAATAGTAGATTATATCAGTGGTATACAAAGACCTCCACATTCCAAGAACTATGAAATACATAATGTATGTCTCAAAGTGTCCAAAAAAACCCAAAAAAAAACACCAAACAAAACCAGTAGAAGTGGTATACAAAGACCTTCACATTCCAAGAAGCATGAAATACATAATGTATGTCTCAAAGTGTCAAAAAAACAAAACAAAAAAAACCCCACCAAACAAAACCAAAGCAGTAAAAAGGTTTGTGAGTATTTCCAAAGGCCTCACAATTCATTTTTTCTCTAGGAACAACCTGGCCACACAGGTGAGTCTGAGAGTAATTCAATGACCTTGGCCTCAGTAATCCTTCCTAGCTCTGCATTTCCTGAAAGGTGGGATTTTGGTGTCCAACACATCTGCACTAGAATCTGTGCTGGACAGATGATACAGTCCTGGTACAGAAGCTGCACTGGACAAGCTCAAGTGCTTCATATGGCCCAAAAGCTACAGCTTGACAAATCCTGACCAAATGTTATTTAACATTTCATCTTGGAAAATGGAACAATCCAATTTTTCCATAAGTGGCCTCAGAGATCAGCAGACATAAATGGTTTATTACAGTCTTCTAGAATTGAACTGCAAGCATACTTGGTAAAGCTAGATAAATACTAAAGAATAAGAGCATATCAATAAATAAATAACAATTAATTTCTTTATAAAGGATAGGGAAATAATTCCCCCATTTCCATTATAGCAGTTGTACTAAGTAGTACACCTTTACAAACAGCTATTTTAGGCACTGAGAGGGGTGATAATTTTACTTACAAATTAAAATCCTACTCAGAGATGTAAAAAAAATGAAATGAACACAAGTAGTCTGTCAAAAGCAATACATAACATTACAATGTTACCTGTCTTTCAAGAAGTTTAACCACATGGTGATAATCCTGAGGACTCTGAGGTTTCTCTTCTGGAAATTCTTGGCTGTCTGTCAGTGTCCCTAAATTGGATTTTTGTGGCACATTGGACTTCTGCATTTCCAACAGTTGCTAAAAGGAGCAGAGGAAAAAGAAAGACCTGAACATGTCCATAGACTGTTTTTTAAAACTGTCATTTAATACAAAACCTATTTTAAATCTAACTACACAGAGATTCCGTGAGACACTTCCCACATTTCTCATGAGGAGTTCAGCACTTATCAAATTTCATGTAATAACCTCTAACATAAACTAGCAGCTACAAAATATAAGCAGCTCTGGTAAAGCCTCAAGTATTGGCTTTCTGACCCACCTTTACTTTCACTATTCTCTTTCTAGTCAAAACTCTGGAGAGCATTTCCAGAGCATCGACTGACAACATAGACAGTTCTGCTGCCAGGACTATAAAGCAGAGATTAATTCCCTCCACATCAGTTGTGAGAATATTTGCATCATGGATGCCTATCAGACAGCAATAATA